GGGGCCTTGTTAATTTTATTACAATAGTCTCTGCATTGGGAAGTGTCTCCTCGCTGGACTTAGTGAAAGGGCTGTCGTCCGACAATCAGAGTCAGAACGGTACTCAACCCGCGGTACAGCCACGGCCACATCAGAGCCAGCCTGCATCTCGACGACAAGACGGTTACAGCAGTTCAGCGGCCATTTATGCCTCCTTTGTATCTGCTGTCACCGGTTCAATTGGCCTCCAGTTGATTAGACGCCATGGTGCTCTGCCCCTCGGATCACGAACCCTTTTCACTGCCATCGAAAAGTCAGGATACGAAAGCCCCCATATCAACAATGAGAGCATCCTCTCCACTTCTTGCTTGACTACACTCAATGTCCAGCTAACTATAAGTGGAACAATAACTGTCTCCGCCCAGACTGTATCCCAAACGGGCATAACTCGACTGTGCAGTCCACGCGACGACATTTCTAAAATAACCGACGTTCAGCCTGGGATTGATCTTTGGCTATGCCCGAGCGGGACTATCGCTAGACTTGTCACGGCTAATATTGACTCGCCAACCGTTCCCTCTCTGGGCCACCCCACCCCTGGGAATCTGTCTGCGAAAAGAATACAGTGGAAATTGGATGTTGTGCAGTGGCTGCGGAATTTTGGGTTGCATGTTGACTCAATTGATGAAGAACCCTGGGTTGAAGTGGAGGTTTGGGAGCCATTTTTCGCGAGGCTTGCTGGGGAAGCATGGCGACAGAGTGATGATAGTCAATCTGCACTGCCACTGAAACGCATGCTGTGGCCAGCGAGATTTTGCTTCAGAAGGGCTAGCTCATCAAATTTCTCTTCCGATGCTCAAACTTCCCTTCTTGACGAACCTCTAGATTTTGCAGAGCAATGGTCTACAATGGCGAGCTCTCTCAAGCTAGATCATATTTCCCATATTGCTCAAAACACCCAAGACTCACAACCAAAAGACCAAGAAATGGCATCACCACCCAAGGCCGAACCCCTGGAAACCATAGAGAGTTTATCCCGAATTGCGCAATATCCTGATTTGCAAACCATGAATCTTGTCTATCCAACTCCCCCAGACGGAGCTGCAGCAGTCGGGTTGAACAATCCAAACCCTCCTGAGGCTTTTGCCGACGATTCTGACTTCGGACTACCACATGCAACGCAACGAAATTCAAGAAGAAATGTGCCAGGATCTGATATATCACCCGTTCAAAATAGTGGCGTTGGAATTGGCACTGGCCGATATGATGCAAGCGACGAAGAAGATCTCTTTGGGGAAATGAACGAAAGAGATTTTGGGTCGAAAGGTATCACCGATGCGGACTTCAGCTTTTTCGATGACCCTGATTTCGATGGCATGGAGGGTGACCCTCGTGTAGAGGATGCAGATGAAACCGTTGAAGCACCCCGTCCTCAAAACGAATCGGAGGCCGAGGCCATGATTGATGCAGAGCTCTCCCCCAATCAGTCACGGGAAATCCCAACTCATTTGGAAACACACGAGGTACACGCCTCTCCGATACACCATGAACCACCACAGTTATCTGAACGGCCCATGGCCCCCGAAGAATCAGCTCATTCGCCTATGGATCGCGCAGGTCAAACAATCAGCCCGCCCTTGAGCCCAGTAGAAGTGAAGAAGATATTGTTCCCGGGGCCCGAGGCAGACGATCGTCGACAGTCTACAGGTCACCGGGGGCAAGGGCATTACAACCCAGTGGCATTCGAAAAGAAACTTGGTGATTGGGATCGGAAGTACGGAGCAGCTGGCAAATTCTGGTTCTCCGGTGGTAACTCGTTGGACACATTAAATCAGACATCTGCCATACCCACGATTGGCATTCCTCGCCGTGACCGAAGCAACGCCAACGCACCTAGCTCAAAAGAACGTAACAAGACCAGTCTATCTCTGATTCAGTCAGAAAATGGTCTACGATCAGCCTCGGTGAGCAGTGACAGCAGCGACGATAGTATCGAGATCATGTCGGAGCATGTTCCAACGCCGGCAGCCATGCCCTCGATCCCCTCTTTGAAGCGGAAACGAGCTCCTTCAGAATCTGATATAATGTCGATTGCATCCCAAGAGAAGTCATTGCCTAGCACAGAAGCAAATCCTGCGTACACAGCCGAGAACTCTACGTTCCTCGGCAATTTTCTAGCTAATTTTTCCGATTGGACCCTTACCGGTTATTTCTCTGCTTTCCCACCTCAACAACTCCCTGTACTTCTTCGCCATGAAGGGCAATTTGAAATTGCCCAACTTCTGGTTGACCAAATCACGCAGTCCTCCCTCAACCATCCACTTGATGGGCAAATTGGTCTTTTTGATCTCGAGAGCGAGTCTTTGTCACTGCAAGCCCTCGACGACACAGCACTCTTGGGTGAGACCTCGAGAATGGACTTCAAAAAATACACGTCATTTCAGGATGAATTTGTCGCGAATCTTCCACAACAGCAACCGCCACAACATCCGGCGCTGCCCAAAGACTCCCCAAAAAGCTTCATTTCAAAGTTATCGGCGCCTCATATACGTGTGCGTCGAGGTAAAGAATACTTAGAGGCGCTTCCCCCTGCTGTATCCTTTTGGGAGACATTCGGTCTTGAGCCTGCTCATGGGCCAAAGAACATTTCTGCTTATTGTATTCACCCACCAGCTGCGTCAACTGCAGCGGATGTTTTCTTGAGGCGGTTTGGTCTTCTCTACCAAAGTTGCAGTCTTGGAACCCATACCAGAGGAGACGATTCTGTGGCATTCGAAGAGGGGCTGAAGCTATGGAAATCTGAAACATCTAGTTATGAATCTATGATGCAGGTATTGAAGAGAACATGCGAGCAGCTTGGTATGTGTTTTCTCTGATGATCATGTGCTTTACTAACAACTCCCAAGGCTCAGAGCTCTCACAATCTACGGCAACTGCTGATAACCATGTTGTCTATATTATCAACCCATTTACGCACGCTGCAGCATTAGCTGACATTTGTTCCGCCTTCTGGTACCTTTTCCAACAATTGGTAGCCGGTTCCGAACGACGACAGACTCGAATTGCCAACGAGCTTGTTCTGCAGATAATTCCCCTAGAGTTCGTGATGTCGAGCGAAACGATGGTTATACCTCCCCAGGTGGATTATCTGAATTTGGCCTTAGAAGTCTACAGTCGATGTCGCTCCAATGATGCGGAGATGAGCCCCCTGCTCTGTGCGCCACCAATGCTTTTGGCCGACGCCATTCCGAGAGCCATAAGTTTCCGACTTGCTCCTGAAAGATCCTCGCCGCTTCAAGATGGCCGAAGTCTTCACATTGCCTACTCCAAAAGCCTTGATCAACGCTGGATATCGGTGGCATGGTCTGATTTGCCAGGCTCTATTCAAAGAACCATGTCTTACTGTCTGCGGTATCGTCAGTCGGGTGGTACCAGACCTGTTTCCGAAGTAAGGAATGAGATTTGGGCTACGACGAAACACATTATGGAGAAATTCCAAGCACGATGGAAAGTTCAGCTAGCGACTACCGAGCCCATGGAAACCGAGGAGGTTGAAGGTACTGCTTCTTATTTTCTTTGATATCGAGGACAAATCGCTAACACATTCACAGCCTGGGCTAGTCTCGCAGACCAGCACAACAAGTCAAAGCCTGGGTCATTGGAATTGACCATTCTGGCTGTCAACACTGTTCCTGACCTGATCCTTGAGCCACCGGTTCCACCCGTATCGATGGCGATGCTAAATATACTGTCTTCGTCTACCCCCGTGTCGACTCCTAATCCAAATGCCAGCGTTGCATCCCCCGAACAATCAGGCAATGCAGCCACGCCAACCAGCGCCGGTCCCGCTGCCTACAGTGCCCCCACGCCAACGGATATGTCACTTGAGAACGATTCAGAAGCTGTCCTCACTGATATCTGCGACGATTCCTGGCTAGCCATCCTATCACACCGACTCAACAGCTCTCCACACCTCACCGAATTCCGACCCGCCCTATCCAGCGGGTATCTCCTTCGCCGCAAGGGCACTACTGATGCGGACGGTGTATTTGCTACATCCGTTAATCTCATTTATTCCCCACGTCCTCCTGTATCTCACGATAACGTCCTTAAAGATACCTTAAGCATGTACCGGGACCTGGGCTGTCTTGCCCGGGCCAAGGGCATATGCAGTGTACAAAACAACACACTGCCTTGGCATGTCGCCACAGCTCTTCGCGCGCAAGAGCTTTTGAGTTATGTTTTTTGAGCGAGATGATATCTTATTACTGGGGCGTTATGGTTGCTCTATCTACTTGGGATCTCATGTATGTTACAGCTTTTTCGGTGATGGGATGTTTTATTACCTAGTTTGGGTAGATATGTATACCCTGGGAGGCAGTGCATTTGAATTCCCCTTCTTTATTGTATATGGTTGTCTAAGTATCGAGAAGTCGGAATCATACTTCTCACAATATCGATGGACATATCTTTACATCTACGATCTGTATCCTTGGAACACTACCTAGGCATTCCCTTCTTATACGGCTTTGAAAAGATGTGAGAGATAGATCGATGTTGTTCCGAAATTTTGTCAGGTTAGGATATTTTCAAACTGTCAATGGAAATATGCACCATGGGTTTCAACAAAGCGAAGAATGTGCATCAAATGAAGTCCTCGTCAAATACATCCAAGAAAAGAAAAGGACTCAGCAAAAGACCTCTAACTCTGCAATAAAAAGCCAAAAAACCAAAAAACCAAAAAAGAAAAAACACCGAAAGCAACGTATGTACTGATTGCTTCCAATCGCTAACAATTGTACAAAAAAAGGCGTGTTCCAACGTAGAAGACTCGTAACGCAGCTCGTCATCGTGGGTGGTAGTATTGAATGCCAACAGAAAGGGTATCGTATCGCAGATAAGGTCGTAGTCGTAGATGTTTGTGTGTGATCGTGATGGTATGTATATGTGCGTATTCCGAAAAAGAAAAGAGGCAATTAATGCCTGTAAAAGCGAGACCAAGAGAGGCCCGAGGCCGAGCGTCAAGGGTGTATATGTTGTAGTGCTTGCTGCTGCATGCTGCTGCATGCTACCCTGCTTTATCACCCATCCGCACTCTCTGCATCGGTCTCCTTCTTCTTGGAGAAGAAGGAGACGTGGCTTTGTACAGCCCAGATGGCGAATCCAGCGATTGCGAGGAGGAGGAAGAGTATGATGATGATAATCGCGATGGTGATGTTGCGCTGGACCATCTTGGGTGGTAGAGAGGTATATTATTTGGCGAGATGTGTAGAGAGCTTCGATCGTTGCTTGTCAATCCAGTAGGAGGATAGGTAAAAATAAAACAAGACGTGGAGTTCAAGGTGGTAGGCCGTGTACAGGTGGGCAGCAATGCGTTGGGTGGGATTTGTATACGGAAGTATACAGCCTCGTCCGGCTGGTTCTTGCAACACACAACGGAGGAAAATGGAAAATTATAGATCAGAAGAATGTGAGAAAGGAGATATGGAGAAGATGGGGTCAGCTGGAATGTGAATTGGTTTTAAACAGGGCTTTTTTTTTCCCCAGCCATGTGCTTTTAGAGGGGCTGGGGAACTCAATGTCAATGTACTAACCACATACTGTGGTTAGGTACCCAAGATAATCCGTATATTGTGTGGATATTATGCGCAGGCTAGAAATAATTGAGAAAAGCACTCTGTTCAGGTTCTCAATGAGATATCCCTAGTACCTTGGGAGGACAAGTCCAGCGCAATAAGATGAGAATGGCAAGTCTAGGGCCAAGGCCACAAATATATTCACGTGACTCAGCCCCCTTTACTCGAGCACGAAATTGATTTGATATTTCGGATTTTTTTCAGTAATAGTACATATGGCAACAAGAAAGGATCGTAAGTCTTGCCATGAAAATGTACTATCGTTCTTCACGTAAACGGCGTATCCATATAATTAACCCAGAATCTTCAATCCTCCCTTCGTTTTGGCTGGCTTTTTGATACCGTCCTGCTTCACTTTTCCACCTGCGCCACCGGCGTTGTCTCCCTTAGGACCCTTGCCCTTGCCTTGTTTCTTTCCATGCTTTCCATGCTTGGGGGCCGAAGTTGGGCGAACCTCGGTTACGGCTCGGCGCAGTAGGATTGGGTGCGAACCAATGTACTTTCCGTGCATTTCTCGTGCCGCTTTGAAGTAGTCGTCACTTCCACTGAAACTGACAAACCCATAGCCTAAGCTCTTCTGGGTTCGTTTCTCTCGGACGACACGGGCTTTCTGGACCGATGTGTAGGATGCGAATGCCTTCAGTAGGGACTCATCCGTCACTTCACCTGCGAGGTTACCCACAAAAAGTCGGAAATGTGCCGGGTCCCACTCCAATAGGGTCGAGTCGGTCCATGTTTGACCACCACCAGAGCGAATAACTGTTTTTTGTGACTCGGCCTGCTGGGCAGGAGTGCCAGCGCCGAGGGTTGGGGTTCCGGCTCCCGTGTTCACGCCTGAACCCTGCTGGTTGCCTTGGTTCTTGGGGTCATCGGTGGGCCTATTGTAGGCGCTCTGCCACTGCGCGATTTGAGCTTCAGTCTCTGCGTCAAATCCGGGGGCGTTGCCGCCCTGTGAAAACCCTGTGTTGGGCGTAGATCCGAACGGGTTCGTAATATGTGGGACGGTCGGGCCGTATGTGTTTTCAGCGTATTGAGGTTGTCCATAGTAGGAAGGCCCACTTTGGTATGTCTGAGGTTGTTGATATTGATTGACGTAGGTGTTGACGGGGGTTGCGTATCCAGCAGAGACTGGCGGATTCGCGACCGGGTAGTTGTTGGCGCGACGCGGTTGACTGGAGGCTACCGCGCGCGGCTGAAACGCCGTAAAGGCGTTGTAGCCCGTTGGTCGAGGTCTACCACCATAGCCTGCAGGATTGGCGGTGGGAGGTTGCGCGGCATTGGAGGATGGAGGTGGGCGGGGCGGAAGTGACGAGGGAGTCTGTTTGAGACCTGGAGGAGGCGGAAGGGACATGATGAATGGGATATTCAAATAGGGGGGAGAGAGAAATGAGATGCGAGAGATTGAGAGACGAGAATGCTAGATGCGAAGTAGCAACTGCAACGTACCTTCAGGGCCTGACTGACCGTCACGCTTGAGATAGGCACCCGAAAGATGAGCACTTGCAAGAGGTGAAAGGTTCCGCGGTTTATAATCACTGTAAGTGGCCTGAAGGACTATAGAAATGCGCGTCGTCAAATATTAGGCGGGATGGCAACGCTTAATGAAAAATCCGAGAGATGAGAAATGACTTCTCTGTCTATGCGCTGGCCAGGCCGTCTGCGATGGCTGTGTCACATGATTCAACCAAGCTTTCCTGACTCAGCCATGACATAAGCCCCAGCAGCCCTCGTGCTGAGTCATTGCCGTTGCGGGCGCTGTAACCCCCACTCTAGTCCCAAAGCGGCCTAGCCCATGCGCAGCCGGTTATGAACTCATCGGCAAGTGATTTCTCCGTCGCAACCAGAACAGTTCACCGATGCGTGGAAAAGGGTGGGATGTGAGGTGTGGATGGTTTAGGTGAGTGACATGGGGATTCGGCTGAGTTCCTGCTACTTCATCATCTGCCTGATACCCTACTATACACATTACTATGTTATATAACATTCTTCAGTTCAAAGCTACCCCTCCATGCCCCGCTCTTGCAGAGTAAAAGCTACAATGCCATGTACTATAGAGCTGTGTAAACCGGAAATCCAACAGAGGATGTACGTAGCATATAGGGAATTGAAACCGGGTCGGATAATGCTTTCCAAATTGTCGCAGAACCCGAGTGGGTTGACACCGGACGACTCTGCTCCTGTACTTAGTACTTGGCGCTACACCGGAGACAGTAAGAACCACGCTGGTACACGGTACCCCCGGTATGTCCCACAGGATGACGGAAGACTTGCTCCGTCAGCCGAGCTACTTCTTCTTCTTCCCCTCCTCTCTCTCTTCATCTTCCTCTCTTCTCTAGATTCACCGTTTTTTTTAATCAATATCATATCTCACATATAATCGTCATGGCTGACCAAGCTGTGTAAGTCATCTGTCTTTCCTCCCCATTTCACCAATTCCAGCCCAGCGGTTACACCTCCCGACGGATAACAGAGCGCATGGATCTTCAATGCTGCTCAGACATCATGCAACAGCTCTATCTGGAAAACCCAATCCCTATAGGTGCTCGCGCAAGATGATACCAATGGAGCTACTGCGAATCTGATCTTTTTTTCAGAAGAGCACGGCTTTCCTTTCTCTTTTGCTCCTGTTGTCATTTTTTTACCCATCTGTTGACAAGAGACATTGTTCGCTGACGATAGCGCCCGTCTCGCCGGCATCAATGTCGGTGCTCCGGCGCACTTTGCTCCTAGTGCTGACTTCGGCCTCATCGGTCTGGCCGTTATGGGCCAGAACCTCATCCTGAACGTTGCTGATCACGGCTTCACCGTCTGCGCTTTCAACCGCACCGTCTCCAAGGTTGACCACTTCTTGGCGAACGAGGCTAAGGGTAAGCGATATAGAGAATAACAGGTTGCAATGGCCGTTGCAAAAAATGCTCACTACAAAACAGGCAAGTCCATCATTGGTGCTCACTCCATCAAAGAGTTCTGCGCCAAGCTCAAGCGCCCCCGCCGTATCATGCTCCTCGTCATGGCTGGCAAGCCCGTCGATGACTTCATCGAGGCCCTTTTGCCTTTCCTCGAGAAGGGTGATATCATCATTGACGGTGGTAACTCCCACTTCCCCGACAGCAACCGCCGCACTCAATACCTCAACGGCAAGGGCATCAGCTTCGTCGGCAGCGGTGTCTCCGGTGGTGAGGAGGGTGCCCGTTACGGACCCTCTCTCATGCCCGGTGGTAACGAGGCCGCTTGGCCCCACATTAAGGACATTTTCCAGAGCATCGCTGCCAAGAGCGACGGCGAGGCCTGCTGCGACTGGGTCGGTGACGAGGGTTCCGGTCACTACGTTAAGATGGTCCACAACGGTATTGAGTACGGTGATATGCAGCTGATCTGCGAGGTAAGGCTACCTTCAAGCTGCAAGATATTCTCGAGCAATCACTGACGTCATCTAGGCCTACGATATCCTGAAGCGCGGTGTCGGTCTCTCCTCCAAGGAGATTGGTGATGTTTTCGCCAAGTGGAACAGCGGTGTTCTCGACTCTTTCCTGGTCGAGATCACCCGTGATATCCTCTACTACAACGACAACGATGGCACTCCCCTCGTTGACAAGATCCTCGACAAGGCTGGCCAGAAGGGTACCGGCAAGTGGACCGCCATCAACGCTCTGGACCTCGGCATGCCCGTTACCCTGATCGGTGAGGCCGTCTTCTCCCGCTGCCTTAGTGCTCTCAAGGACGAGCGTGGCCGTGCCAGCACCATCCTGAGCGGTCCTACACCCAAGTTCGAGGGTGACAAGCAGGCTTTCATCGACGACCTTGAGCAGGCCCTGTACGCTTCCAAGATTATCTCCTACGCCCAGGGCTTCATGCTCATCCAGAACGTAAGTCTTTTTTATCCGCTACTGATAGTCAGTTTTCTAACCCTCGTCCCCAATATAGGCTGCCAAGGAGTACAAGTGGAAGCTGAACAAGCCTTCCATTGCCCTCATGTGGCGCGGTGGCTGCATCATCCGCTCCGTCTTCCTTAAGGATATTACCAAGGCCTACCGCAGCAACCCCGACCTTGAGAACCTGCTGTTCGACGACTTCTTCAACAAGGCCATTAACAACGCCCAGACTGGCTGGCGTCACGTGATCAGCAAGACCGCTTTGTGGGGTATCCCCGCTCCGGCCTTCTCCACTGCGCTCGCCTTTTACGACGGTTACCGCTCCAAGAACTTGCCCGCCAACCTGCTCCAGGCCCAGCGTGACTACTTCGGTGCCCACACTTTCCGCATCAAGCCCGAGGATGCCAACGAGACCTTCCCCGAGGGCAAGGATATCCACGTTAACTGGACCGGCCGTGGTGGTGACGTGTCGGCCTCGACCTACATCGCATAAGCGTGTTAAGTTGAGGTATACTAGCAGGGTAAAAAAATTGGATGTTCAATGTATTTAGATGTCTCCATGGAATGCCCATGATCCGTAACGAAGTCACTTGTTTTTCCTTTTCATATCTCTCAGCTACATATGATTTAAGTGAGCCTCTACTTAGCACAGGCTAATACAAGGTATGAAGTGTGCGTTCAAACTAACATGAGACCTCACCTTTTTGACCTTACCAGCGAACACGCTCAGTCAACTCCCGAGAATGTAATATTTTGAGTGGACTCGCAAGTCCTATTACCTACTTCGTCATCAACATCGCTCCCGACGCCGACGTCACTTGCCAGCGAGCAGATCATGGTTTAAAATGAAAAGAAACCCAGAAGGTGATGGTTTATTTGTATGAACAAGGTCAATCCTCTCGAGAAAATCCGTATCGGCGATCCTTCAACGGCGGGCTCCGGGGGTCTCCTGGACTCCGCTTCTGTAGGGGAAGGCGCGCCCGAATCGGTAATCACAGTCCCATAGAGCTCCTACCGCACCTTGCTGAAGTGTGCAGTATCAGATGGGCAATATCTGCCCGAGCACCATGCTGAGCAGCTAGCTGCCAGATGTCTTCCCGCTGCAGCTGTTTCGAGGGACTCGTTGGATGAGATGATTGTCTGTCCATTCAAAGATGATATTGCGCTGTGGTAGTGAGTTCCTCTTTGACAGAGGATCAGGGTCTCTTCTGTCAGCGTCAGATAATCTGATTTGGACTGGATGGAAATAGGAAACTCCATGTTTTGGCAAGAAGCTATTGTAGCTTTCTTATGGTGAAAGTCAAGGGTGATCCCTTCAGGGCCAAGGACGTCTATGCCGATTAAAAGCTTGGTCTGCGTCGGTCACCAGCTCTGAGCGTATATATAGATAAGATATCATACACGGCCTTGTTATCCCTCATATTGTTAACGGGCTGACCTAGGTATGTATGTATTAGTCGTTGTCAGACTGAAAGCTAGGGGAAGATAATCATCATGTATTCTCTGCCGGTTGCCGGGAGCTAACTAGTTAACGTAATTCACATGCGAGCCGCCACCACAAGCGACCCGCCATCTCCAAAACACATAGTAAATGTGATAAATTACAACCTGATATCTCAACAACGGTGGTCTATAAGAGGTCTTTCTTATAGCTCGATACTTCTTAGGTGATATCTAGCCGCTTTACTAAGTTTAGATAAGTTTTATGACTTTGTGGTCGTGATATACATATTTCAAGATATTTCAAGCTCAAGGCAATGTAATTTTCGAAACCATAATAAAGTAGAGGTTTGATTACCTTAATATTAAGATGCTGAGCTTAAGATCCTTATCGATCGCTATCTAAGAATAATTAGATCAGGGTATAACATTGTTGTTGAGATACACAGGTTGTCAAATATGGTGTTTACTATGTGTTTTGGAGATGGCGGGTCGCTTGTGGTGGCGGCTCGCATGTGAATTACGTTATCTAGGGGATGCTGACTCAGCATAAGGCTGAGCCAGCCGAGGGCTACAGTCGTATACCTCACACAAAACATTCAGACGTGCGCTACCGATGTGAGATTGCAGCGGGCTGATACTCTAGTGAGGGCCGACTGAATAGGAATCTGGTGAGCTGGATGTCGGGTGATATCGAGGAAGTGAGAATAACTTCACAAGTCGATGCGGGCAAGATTATGTGCATGGGACACAGCGACATACTGGTCGAACAATCTCCGCAATGCCCAGTAAAAGAAATTCAATGCGCTATAGGGCCGCAGTGCAGACAACAATCATCCAGATGAGATTGCTGACCACGTTGTTCATCACTCGACCACCCTTCTCTTCTCTTCAGCCAGGCGGACGAGTTTCGCCACTGGGGACTCGACCCCCTCCTCTCGAATCACCATTGCAGCTAAAAGAGAGGTCAAAATAAGGTCAAAATAAGGTCAAAATAGGATCAAGCTGAGGTCAAACTTACTGGACAGAGCCAAAAGCAAGAAAGAGCAATAAATGGTTCTATCAAACATTTTGTTGATATGCGAATGATTGTTCTTAACTATGTTAAGACGCTCAGAGAGCCAAGGAGGGAAAGAGAAGAAGAGTTGATTCTCTACAAACAAGTAATGGAGCTGCTTATATAGCTGTGACGCGTATTAAATAGGCAAATAGGGCATTCCACAGACTACCTACGTACAGGGAGGCGATGGTTTATACGGAAGGTACGAGCTTACAATGTGATGTCAGAGCTTGGGTGCATTTACATATAGCAATCCATTTGCAACTATACGTGCCGGATTTTTCCTAGGGCTTCCTATAACTAGGATCTGGCATAAACTTAACCCTTTGTAGAGAATGGTTTAAATAGTAGAACCAACCCGAATGGAGTGTGGAAGTAGTTAAGCCATTTCTCGGCCACCTACTTCGTACTAAATTTGACGGTGTCAAAGAGCAGTCGGTTTCTCCACTAGCATGCGTAGCATCGGAAAGATGGATATCCAAGCCTGCTCTGAAATACGGCGGGCTCGGATATATCGCAAAGAATAAGTATGTAGCCCCCTGAAAGTGCTTAGTCGTTCCCTGTGATATTTTGCCGTTGTAGTCACAATCATTTCTCTCTTGCACGAATCCAAAGTGTTTCAATTTTTTTTTAATAGATAATATAACTCTACCAAGTAAAAACCACCAACATCATCAAATAGATCAAGAATCATATAGTCGTAAGGAGAAAAAGCGGCCCCCCAAGAAACCATCAAGTCGTATCAATCATGTAGAGAGGGGATATGTCAAATAAGCAAAGCAATCCCGGAACTTCAGAAGCGAAGTGAAGTGAAAGCAAAAATAGGAGTCAGAGAAGAAAGAAGAAGTAGAAGAAAAACGACAAATAAACAAGAAAAAAAACGCCCGAAACAAAACCGAACAATAACGAGACCCAATCTCTATGCACATCGCAGTAATCAATCTGTGATTGGAGTATTCAATCTATGAAATCAGCCAATCGCGCAAGTAGGAAATGGTTTAAAAGGAAATCAAACGTCAAAAATTGAATGGAGGCCCAATTGCCTGTATAAGATGATGTTGAGAGGAGGTGGGGAAGAGTAAGAGACCTAGGAGGTTAAGATAGAACAGAAAACCAAAATAAAGCATCATTAGAATGCCAATGTATACTCATACTTCAAGACCAAACATGGAAGCCCGGGAGCCCTGCTCCCCGTCTGCCACTTCCGCGCCGGGACCCAGCAGCCGATTCAGCTCCACCGTGGTTCCCGTGCCGAACTTCATCAAGGCTGCGCCGCGAGACACCGAAGTCGCTCATCGCGAAGAGCAGCGGCTCATCGTCTTCGGGCGCTTGTCCGGAAAGCGTCCGAACCGCGCCTGGCCGCTGCCCAGAACCACGACGGATCTCTAACGTGGAGTTGCCGCTGGTGCTTCCGCTGGCATTTCCATCACGGTCCTGGTCGCGCTCCGCCAGATGCGGGGCGGGATTGGCACCCCGGGCAAGGCTGCTGGATGCTGAGCTGACGGAATGTCCGCCCGAGTAGCCGCGGCCGCGGGAGCTGGCGAACCGGGGTTGGTAGACATGGGGGTTGGACGAGGCTGAGGCGCTGGTTGGTCCAGACATCTGTCCGCGGAGGGATGCACTGTCCCGATACGGACCCGCTGCAGAGCGGGATGGACCGCTTCGACCCTCGGCCGGTGATTGTTGGCTCTTCAGGGACTCAGCGTGCTGTTGGGCGGCAGCTAGGGTGGCGTGAGAGGGCTCATCGGCCCCCAGACTGAGGCTGCGCATGCCGAATGGGAATATTTCATCATCGTCGCTGGTAACGACTGGCCGGCGCACGGCTGCGGAGCTCGAGCGGCGGTAGGCAGGGTCGAAAATCCGCGGCGATGTTGGAATATCAATAGCACCTGCAGTAGAAGAAGCTCCTCGCGTATTTTCTGTGCTGGAATGTTCTTCGAGGGGCGGGTCGTGGTGTGAGCGAGGGATTCTTGCACGGTGGTCGGTTTCAATGTCATCAGCAACGCTGTTCGAGCTTAGACGAGATCGTATAGCAGGAGTGTGGGGAGTGTGGGGGGATATGGGTTTCCCTGGAGAAGAAGCTGTGGAGACGGAGGTGCCCGCAACCATCGGTGGGACCCCTGACAATTGCTTGCTCGAAGAAAGAGAAGAGCGATGCATGTGCATAGACTGTGACATTGAGTCGGACAAAGCGGCATTTGAATCTCGCATACCGCGGAAGCGAGCAAGAGCTACTGCGGTGGGGTTGGCCTGCCTAGGACCAGGTTGAAGAGATGCAGTGGATGAATTCATCAGATCCTTTTTCGAATCAAGCATCTTCAAAAAGTCGGAGATATTCTCGTCATCTGCGTGAATAGACTCCGCACTCGTGCCCGTAGCTTCCGTAAGTAGGCCGGACCCGGGCTGTGCATTAGATGATGTCGCACTCGCTCGGCCACTGGAGTTGTCGTCTTCCAGTCTGTTTGTCCCTACGGAAAGGCGGCCTCGTCGGTGGCTAAAGGAGCTGCTGTAACGGGATATGGGAGCAGGTTTGGGGGATGCGGAATTAGAGGATGATATAGCTTGTTCAGATGCGATGGTTATAGGTCTGCGCGCTGAAGCGGCGGAAGAAAGGGGCGGCATGACGCGGGAATCGGCAGATGTACCTGTGGGGATGCGTGACGTGTTGCGGGGAGACATTCCCAGGGGAGAATCTGCTAAAGCCGGGGAAGCAGACAGAGGGGGAGCTTTGAAGGGTTGGAATGAGACGGAGGGACGACGTGGGAAACTTGACCCTCCACTTTCACCAGCAATCTGCGCAGCACGTCCTGAAGGAAGGACTTTGGCAGAAGGGAGGAGTCTCTTAGGTGACTCTGTTGGTGAAGGAGACCCCGCGCCCGAATCTCTCATTGCACGGAGTGCTGATATAGGACTTGCACCTGTTGTTGGGCCAACCTGATGAAAGGTGGAGAGACTGCCGTATGCACGTGTGCAATCTGGGCTCTCAACGGCCCTTCTCTCCACTGGCACAGAACCGACTTCGGGATTTGGGCGGTTGACATCATCTGAAGGCAACGACGGACGAAAGATCTCGTCGTCAGCACCCATGAACCGCGAGCTCAGTAGCGCTTCTGAGTCGTCAACACGGAAATCGCAGTTCGTCCGATACGTGACTTGAACTGAGAAGGGACCTGCGGGCGACTCCGTGACCCCAAATCCGTACGTGTCCACCACTTTTTCGCTTCCCTCGCTCAACGGGGCTGTCAAATGATCCAGTGGGAGGTTATCACGAGCAGCGCTCCCATCTACCACACGATACTTGATCTGGAGGGCCGGACTCTGTCGCAACTTTTTGTTGCGTCTAGAGAATCTCCATGCAGGCAAGAACTTGGAGTAGGTGAACAAGGAACGGAAGAGCACAATGCTTTTCTTATACACAGTCGGCAAGATAGAGCCCAAATCTGCCGGAGGCCTGCTGGAGCACTCTCCCAATTCGATTCTCCACCGCTCCAAGATAATCTCGTCATTTTCCGATTGGTATGGCTTTGCACGGGCACCCTGAAGCGCCGCAAGCGACTCACGCACATCCCAACGCTTCCCATTCTCGTCAATAATCACCAGACTTTGATTATTTGTGAGGCCCTTTGTGTCTAAGTATGTTTCGATAACGAGAGGTGGTGGTCGGTTGTCCGTTGCATCGCATGTTCTCCAAGGTCGCAGGGGTTCCCGAAGGACATCTGTATCATCTAACTCGACGTTGAACTGGAGGGAAACAGACAGAGTTAGCGCCTGCCACTTTCATGTGCCTCAATATCCCAAAAAGCATCGCGAATCCGACCATAGCTTGGAAACATACCCAGCGGTTGACTCTAGGAGAATCGGAGCCCTTGTTAAAGGAGGGAGGCAGTGCAACTCGTGAATGTAGGATAATCAAAGCGGCTTTTGTGTGATAGTTCTGTTGAAAAGGAGATTAGCCGTCAATTAGCTATCCTGATAAGCCATGAGAGGGGCGATCTGAATGACGATACCGATATTATCTGGTTTAGCCGGGTCAAGGCCTCCTTGCCCAATGCCGCATTCCTCCCCTGCTCGGACGGTTGAGGTCCCGGCTCTATCCCCAGCCCCCTGGCATAATTAGACCCCATATCGACCGTTGGGGAGCTCGGGGAGGTTTCCTGTTCTCTGCGGACGTCCCGAGCTGTCGGTCTGGGTGGAAGGTTTGGCGGCGGAGACGGCACTGCCGATGATCGGGGATGTTGATGCATAGTGGGCTTCTAGTTGCGACACCGTGGTTAGCGACCATCGACATGCATGCGAACAAGAGGTAAGAACGGCATTACCGGAGAGTGCTGGATATGAGTGTTATCACCGCCGGAATCTGTTATCAGGAACGCAATCGGGCAGCGATGGATCCAAGACTGAGGGCCATGCTAACAGAGAAGAGAATGATAATCTTCTAAGGATGTTCCTGGATCTGAGACGCTAAATGATTCACAATGAGACAATGGGCGCCTAGCATGTGGTCTGGGGTTGACTCCGGCCTGGGACCTTCGGGGCAGGTCTAGAGCTTCTCCGCACGGGCAAATGCAGTTGGATAAAATCACCGTGAGGGGTGTAGAGAAGCGAGAGAAATATGATAAAGTCCGTAAGAAAAGAATGAGAAATCAGGTGGATGCGGAGAAAGAGAGAGAGAAGGGGTGTGATAATGAAGATAGTTCGTCTGTGACGCACATCCGGTGACTCGACAGGTCTCGAGTGTCCTAGTCAGCCTAGAACGCCACACAGATGATGCAAACACGGGGGGTTTGCTGCCTATCTTCTTGATAAACTAGGCTCCTGTTCTCCTTTCACTTGTATAACTCCCTTTTACCTAGAAACAGGCTGTTGGACAAGCCGGGTTCTCATGCACGGTCGCAAGGATCGCCGTACCCGGGGCAAGGTCCCCTGGAACCGATAAGCGCTTGATCACGACTTACAAGGCGTGATATCAAGATGTTCTACTTGCAGGCTACAGACAGCCAGGTATGGGCAGCGGATGGATCCTTTATATCTGAGTACTTTGACATCTTCCATGACCACCGCTGGCATAAGTAGTAAACTTGACGTTTGCACTCCAGTTACACCAGGAATTGACCATAGTCTTGGCATCGGCATAAGGAATGACTTCGTCGTCTGTGGCGTGGTACACAAAGGTTGGCGCCGCCGGGGTCTCGTCCTCGTTGGCAGCCATGGTGTTCTGCTTTAGCACCGACTGGGCGATCGGGTCGAAGATAAAATTTTCGCCTAGAGTTTGGAAGCTAGTGTCGAAGATTGACCGCTCGAAGAACGCCGCGATATCCGCAGTGGCGCATTCGGAAACTGCGGCGTCGAGTATCTGTTGGCCTTCAGCCGTTATGATCTCGCTGATGAAAGGGCCCAGCGAAGCACCGTAGGCGCTTGGCTTTATGAGACCAGCAATAGCTGGGGGGAGTAAGCCACTGAAGGCTGTGTTGTCAAGCTGATACATTGTGCCAGTGACGTTCGCGGGAGTTCCACCCTGCGCCCAGCCCTTGATGTTCAGCTCTGATGCGTAGAGGGGTTGCAGAGAGGCTGCCCATCCGGTAGCAATGGCACCACCTGAATAGCCTATGCCGACAACCATAGGGTCATCAGTAAGACTCAACGTCTTGAAGCTCTTCGCGGCACGGATACCATCCAATACACCCATACCTGCGAGGCGACCAGGTCCAAAGGCAGCCTCGGGTCCCTCATAGTCGGGAGAAGCGACGGTGTAACCAAGAGCAAGGTAGATATCAATGATCAATAGCTCGACTGAAGCAATCAAACTGTCCTGTGGTGAACCAAGCTGGTAGGTGTAGCTAGGCTGACATTTCGTCGCAGAGCTATCGTAGGCCGTGGCGAAGGAAACGAAACGATCAAGCTTAGCGTCCTTCGGCTTAAACACCGTGGTAACTGTTGCAATAGCCGAGCCATTGATTGCAGTCGTGCGGTAAAGCAGCTGGTAGGCTTCCACGTCAACCGGGACGAGGCCAAAGAACGCGGCAGTGATGTTGCGTTGGCTCAGGATTGTCCCAGGCGCCTCGGATGCGAAGCCAGCAGGTGGCTGGTAGAACGGATCAGTGTCGGGATCCTGAACCGTGCTGCGAGGGACTTGAGGCGCCGGCAGGGCTGAGGCAATTGAAGTGAATACCACCAGGCCAACCAGGGCTAGGCGCACCATGAGCGCAAGGGACAATGCCATTTTCCTGCTCTATATAAGGGATTCAAGGCTGTTATGCTACATGATAGAGCGGGACGATTCTCATATTATATACTTGAACAACTTCTAAGAATGTGATTGATATAGATTACCGAGGCCGGTGAATAGTGCGACGATCATCACCTGGTTCATGGCGACGGGGGATACTCCGTGCATAAACCATTCGGAGCAATACATGGTCTGTCTGATGCCCTGCAGACTCCCTGATATGAGGTTGGTTTGATATCTTTCACCTACAGAAGCGTGAACACATTTAGCAGGTCGATATGCAAATAGACTTATCGATAGACTCACCTCTTTACCTTCCTTTTCCCTCAACATCTAAATAGAAGTTGGGGCCTAACAAAATTTCAAACTCGTGGAGGATCGGCGCCAAAACCCCGCACAAAGTTTCTTTTTGTTCCCGTCTAGGGGGCATGGATATCCATATCCGAGGCTGATTATTGAGACATTTGTATCGGAGAAAGCCTCTTCTGCGACAGATACGTTGTGAATACGTCTCGAGCCAGAGTAAGCACGTTTAGCTCCATATCCCGCATCCGTATATATCCAACTAGTTGTGCATGAGGGCTCTACCCCGGCATTGTCTTAGCGTTACCCCTCAAGATGCGGAGGATATCTTGCAAAAAGCAGGCTCTTGCATAAGATGCTGACGCTAACTTTGTATTGGCGCTTCACATGAAAGGACTTGGGTTGCACTCTTCAGCTTCATTCGTGTCGAGACAAAATTCCAGAGATGTTCGGAGGCAGATGACACTTCCCCTTTTGGTAAGGGTGGAGCTTAATCAGAATTGAGGTTTGGAATAGGATACAAGACCGATTGGTAGAAGCAGAAAGAAGAGAGGGGAGGGGAGCATATGTTGTAAGTGATATAGGGATCTAGTTTATGATATGCACGTGGACATACAACATCCTATAGTTATACCCGGGTGAGATCGAGTCCATGGTCAATAGCGGCGGACACGCTCAACTTTTTTTTATGTTTTAAAGGCATATGGTCTTTGGTTTGGTATGGCTTCTATTCTTTTCAGCCTTCGGTCAATATTTTCTAGCTTTATTTATTCACCAAATCCCAGAATAATGGATAAGCTGTGGGATGCGCTAGTTTAGCCCCACAATTGATCATCCCGAGCAGCTTCTAAACTGCTGCAGACCTTAGGCTTACGCGCTGTCTAACTAAGCTCTTGTGGGTTTACTCTTGTAATCTCGCCGGGATTCAGGACTTTGACTAAGTTTGCCACTTAGTTTTAGAGTGAAGACCCACCCGTACTCCGTATAGCGGAGGGCCCGGAGCTGAATTTTTCGCATACTAGTAGTGGATCACATATTGTTGAAGAAACTCTCTTCAGGGGCGCCACATATACAATTCTACAAGGAAAACAGCAAGAGAAGGAAAAAAAAGGCATATTCACCATTTTTGAGAAGATCGCCCAAATCCCTCAAATTCACCTATCGAGCCAGAAATCTTTCGGGGTTATGTACTATTGGGGCCCTACAACAAGGCATTTCCGTATGAAATTCAAAGAAGCTCATGTGGAGTAGACTAGACAGATGGAAACCAGTCCCAGATAAACGGAATAACGGAGCCAAGCCATAGGAAGCTGTTATAGCATCCTCAAATGGATGCCTCGTAGTCTTGCAATTGGTCTAACAAAGAGGTCAATCTATAAATTAGCGCAGCCACTTGCTACCCATGTGATAACCAATGCTAACAGTGATGCAAGCTATCACGGTTACTAGGTTCATCGCCCTCAAGGGCTGACTGCTTCTACACCGGATCTATTTCGGAATTATTCGTTCAGTCGAAGTATATGTCTACGTAGCATGAGGCTATGAATGAGGGTTAGATAGCAATGTTTCCTTTAACATACTAATGATTATATTAAATATCACGAACAAGGGGCTGTGGCGCAACGGTAGCGCGTGCGACTCCAGTTCGCAAGGTTATCCGTTCAAATCGGGTCAGCCTCATTGTCTTTTTTTTCTTTCTTTTTTTTTGGTCAGCCTCACTAAAGATACCTAGTTACGTACTACAAAATTATAAACAATTTATTTTACTAGCAGGCATTTCCAAGAGGTCATTAGTCTATATAGGTCCATGGGTGTGTCCAAGCTGGGCATAATTGATATGTTTTCGGTGGTGTCCAAGCGCTAACATATATATATATTCAAGGGTACGTATTGATGTCATAGTATCATGTTTCCTAAAGCAACTCTAGCAATCCTCAAATCAACCACTTCAGACGACTTGACTGGATATGTCCTTCCTATAGTCGTATAAATCCGGAACGGCGGCATCTCCCGGTGGTCAAGGCTTGTTTATATTGAGATATTTGACCAGGGGATATACATGTATTGTATGCCTGTCTCGGACATTCTCGCAGATCCACCACAAAAGCCACAAAGACAGCAACGATCCATTGAACACCCTGTCCTCGAAAGACCCTGGTATATCTTAGATCCTTCCAATCCCTTGGCCTCGTAATACCGGGCGAAACCTCTCGTGGATGTATGTCGCCCCTCCGTCCTGGGGCGGTGGCTGCATGAATCCTTGATTTAACTGAAAAATGGGCACACTTGCAAAGAGCATTCAACGTAATATGATTACTTATCATTGACTATATAGTTGTTTGCAGGGAGGACAGTTGACCGATCTAGTCACATCCAAGTGCTATAAAGAAGACGTCATGTTTCCATCGCTATCATAGTCTCATACTTCCTTTCAATCAATCATAAGGTATGTTCAAGGGCAACCTATGCCTCAAGATTTCACGATACACCTATAGACCATAAAGAGAGATGACTAAGACACATAATCGTTACAGGGATCCTTCAAGTGCCCCTCAATCGATATGAAATTCACTTTTACCTCCATCATGCACTTCCTCTGCCTTTTTACCGCCATGGTTGAAGCCCTCACCCGCGACGAGACCACGCCTCCAAGCGACTCTATTGTCCTCATCGACAGACAGGCCCTCCACGACATGGCCAAAGATCACCCTTACGGCTCTCTATTCCCCGAAAATGGAGGGTACTACCTGAAGGACAAGGATGACGGAGTTGTTGGTATCGCCAGCTATGAACTTTGCACGGAGCTGGACGCTGCCTTTGCTAGCGCCGAAGCCAAATATGCCCAGGAAGAGGCTGCTGAATCCTCGGCTCCAACTTCCCAAAGCCTCCAAACCCAAATACAATACTTCCTCGAGCCGCATAAATGACAGTTTGTGTAAGTGAGACAAGTAGCTAGATTGAAGCAACGAGGGTGGCTGCAGAAATCGTGCAAACTGTTGGGATAGCAAGCGAGCTTGGTGCCCTTCTTCGCAGCATCCATTGCCCTGGGGGTTTGATAGGGCATTGGAGGGCTCTGGGAGTGACGAAAAAGATGTGAATAACCTGTGCGGATTCTGCTTACTTTGACTTTGCGATCCAGCTGTGTCCGACTATGCTTCTTAATATATCTTTTTGCCACCCAAGTCTCTAACAATAAATTACTCCAACCTGCTGGGGCGACCGCCGCTCCATTCCGAGCCCTCGGGCTAGATCGGAGAAGTCGAACAAAAATTTATTCTCACCTGTGATTATGCCACATTTTCATTTCAGTAAACTTAATATCCAAAAGGTTTGAAATTAATCAAAGTATGAAAAGAACAAGAATTAGTTCTCTAAACTACTAAATGGATAGTTGGATAGCTAGATGATCGCTCCCAATATTTTGTTATTGAAGACTATCTAGTGGCTCTCCCGGTGATATAGGTGGCTGAACGACAGGGAAGATCCTTCGGGCCTGAATGTCCTAGTATCACACAGACAGTCTGACCCATTGTATTGTTATATGCAAATAATTTAGTATGTGCACTGAAATAGTTAACCTAAACAATAATTTTGGCGGATCGGGTACGGAGAACATGGGTTCGGCCCGCAAACCTTGTTATATCATGTACACTGTACAGTGACTTCATAAGTTTTAACACCCCCTAAAGCCCCACCCATATACCATGGGGAGTGATTGATCTAAAGCACCTAAAGCATCTCTGAGACAATGCTTCACTGAGTACAGGCTATCACTGACAGTCAGGGGTGGTATATGTATGCCATATTAGTAGATACTAGTTTCAATGGAGTTTTAGACTGGCAGAATATTACATAATCTAGGGGTGTGGGGTGTTAAAACTTATGAACAGTCACTGTACAACATACGTATGATGGTCAAAACCCGGCGGTGTCCGGTAGGATTGGAACTCGCAGCCACCAAGTGGAGTTGTTTATCAAGTTGAATCTAATTAGACAGACTTTTTTTTTGGCTGAGGTAGCCCCACTTCTCTTATAACTTTGCCCAAAAAACTCAAGTCTGAGCTTGAGTGTATTTCCCCGATTAGGGGAAATTTTGGTACCGGGAGGGGCCCACGGGGGTGGGAGGGGACCGCCGGCCATTGGCCGGTGTGCGAAGGCGCTGCCCGAAGGGGTTAGTACTGGGTAACGGTACGGTATTGCCGAGTGTAAACGGGCGGTCGGGGGTTGACCGCCGACCAAAATGGCAATTTTGGTTAGTTGACTGGAAGTCTGGCGGCCGATTGGCGCTAGTCCCGAAGGGGTTATTCTTGGCGGTAGCCAAATATGACGTAATGTCATCCATGTAGTTATATAAGGGGACGGTAGTCCCTTACGTTTTAACTTCGTTAAACCTTTTGGATAACAAAATGGCTTATAAAGCTGTGAAGAAAACCTGGGCTGGTAAGGCCAGGCCCAAATACCGCCGTCGTGCCGGCGGTCGCACTTCTTCGAAGTCTACCCGGGGTGCTCTCGACAAGTATGTCGATACCAAAGTGTAACGCGCTATAGCAAAGGCCAAACGTGGCCCTCGGCGGAGTGTACCTCTGCAGTTGACGCCTGCGCGGTTCGACCGGGATTACCAGATCCCGCAGATCGAAGTCCTCGATCGTTGGACGACGTATATTCAAGGTCCGCAAACAGCGGACAAGTACGCAGTACTGCCGATCACGGAGGTGATTCCTACACAGCGGCCTCCTGCTGGGGAACCCGATGACCGGTTCCGGTCCTTTGACACTGTTCTTGTCAAGGGTGTCTCGATTCGAATGACCATCAATCACGCCGAAAGCGTTCGGCTCATGGTCCATGCTTTCCGGAACGGAATGCGCGCTGGCACTTCAAATAGTTCGCAGCGACCGTATGCTGATAGGCACGGTATATCCGACCCTCCGGTGAAGGGGCGCCCTGTGTCCGAAATTGTTTTCGATGTCATGAGCAAAGAGAAGCTTATGGGAATGCCAGGATGTGGGAAATACGGGTTCCGCAACCTTGGGGTCCACGATAGACCGTTTGCTGTCAGTCCCTTGGTCGACGGGCGGTTGGACTGGTATGGTCCCGATTTTACGGCTTTTACCAGCCGGTTCAGCACGGGTGATGCCCAACCCGTTGGTAAGGTGTACGCGACGATTAACGGCGGCAAGAGTAAGCTGTGTGGTCGCACGTTCAGAACTACGTTCAGAACTACGTTTGGGACTAGTTCCCTTATGAGAACCGTTGGTTTCGATTCTGAAAGGCCGGAGGTTGGCGGGTGGGTTGGCACCCGTGTACAACAAGTTGAACTCTTCGTGGAGTTGAATAAAGTTGAGTAATTTACAGTTTCGAGCGGCTCTTCTTCGGTGAATGAGCGGCCGTTGGAGCTGTTTGTTGGGTTTGACTCACCCGGCTTCCAGCCAGGCTTGCAGGCAAGTGTTGCGTCTGGAGCAATCATGGCGATGGACATGAAGGTTTACTATGAGTAAGTAGATATATATATATCCACTGTCTAGTGTTGATGTGAATTCTTTGGGGGCCCCAGCTTTGCTGGGGGGCGAAGCCCGATATTACAGTATACGAAGTAGTATCAATATATTGCTTTTTACTTGATAAAAAGGTTTCTACGATGCACCCTCGGTGCACCAAAGGTGATGTTCGATCAGACAGTGATCGATGTTGAATCTGATTGGACAGACTTTTTTGACAGAGGTGGCCCCACCTCTACTATAACTTTGCCCTAAAAAGTTAAGCTTAAGTCTCGACGTATTTCCCCGATTAGGTAAAATTTAGGAATAGGAGGGACCTACCAGTCGGTAACTAGTTAGTTAGAAGGAGATCCTAACTATTAGTCAGATAAGTATAAGCTAGCCAGAAGGGGTTAGTCTCGGGTAATAAGACAGTATTGCCTATAGTACAGTTACACCCCTCTCACCGCTCTCACCGCCCGCCCCTGAACACGCTAGTAGACCTAGATCTAGTATGAATTCATGGAGGTTTTTGACCGGCAGAATGTTATGTAATTAGGGGCCCCACTTTAGGGGGTGTTCAAATTTTGGAGGTGTCACTGTATATAGGCGGTCAAGTTGTAACTGTATCTAAGAAAGGATATTCTAAGTAAAGACTAGAAGTCTGAGATGACCCGATAGGGGAATTCTTGGCATTCCGCCAATGTTATATTATATATGACATAGTATATAAGGGCACGGTAGTCCCTTTTCATTCTAAATCTATTGAACTTTCCGAATAACAAAATGGCTTTCAAAACTGGTAAGAAATCCTGGGCCAGCAAGGCTAAGAGCCAATACCGCCGCCGTCGCGGCGGTCGTACTTCTTCGAAGTATACCCGAGGTTCTCTCGACAAGTATATCGAGGCTAAAGTGCAACGCGCTGTTAAAAAGGCGAAGCGTGGCCCCCCACGGAGTGTACCTGTGCAGTTGATACCTGCGCAGTTTGATCGGTCCTGCCAGATACCGAAGGGGAATATTCTCGATCACTGGACGATCTATGTTCAAGGTCCGTCGTCAGCGGATAAGTACGCTGTACTCCCGAAGACCTTCGGCATGATTGATCGTCATTCGTAGTGACAACTCCTTGACAGTAACGGTGTCAAATGACCGGAAACGATCGTCGGGTTAGCCGGCAGCAGGCCGCTGGGTGGGAATCACCTCTGTGATCGGGAGTATAGTGTACTTATCCGCTGACGACAGACCTTGAACATAGGTCATCGAATGATCGAGGATGTTGGCCTTCGGTATCTGGAACTCACGATCGAAATGAGAACGAATGCGTTCGATGGTCAAAACCCGGAGCTGTCCAACTTGACGAACAACTCAACTTGTTGGCTTCGAGTTCCAATCTAACCGGACGCCGCCGGGTTTTGAGCATCGAACGCCGTAATACTACGTACAGGGGTCTGTGAAAAAATGTTTGGGAGTGACTTCTAAAGAAAACATAATGCTATATGTTAGAAAAAGTACAGAAAGTATGTATAATGATAATTCTTTGAATCTATCAGTTTGCTAGGAGGTGATTCTCAATTGGGTGCTAATACAGACTCAAAGGATGCGACTCTATTGAAACTGGGTAGATAAAGAGGATATGAATGCTATCATAGATCATCGGAAAGTTCTGGAAATCTAGTCCAAGTTTGAAAGATATATAGGAATGGATATTTTCTCCTTCCCCCATCTCTTTCCCATTCTCACTCACCATTTCTCTCCTTTTTATTCATTCAGAAGATGATCTAAATCCAACCTTCTAGCATCACACATTTTCATCCGCTACCACCATGGCTGTTATGTCTACTCCAAGGTTGCCTGGCCAAGGGCTCGGTGACCCAGTTCTGCTGGACAAGATTGACCGGCTCCTAGCCTACAACCTTGGTGAATACGTCAACTTGCCCCAGCTTGTTGTTGTGGGAGACCAATCTAGTGGAAAAAGCTCCGTTCTTGAGGGGCTTACCAAGTTGCCGTTCCCTAGAGATAGTGGACTTTGCACTCGGTTTGCTACTCACATCATCTTCCGACGGATCAAAGCGGACACAAAGAGGACTGTCACTGCCTCTATCGTTCCAGGACCCGACAAAGAAACAGAGCACGCTTCTCGCTTGGCAGCATGGAAAGGAGCCAATATGGAATCGCTCGACCCCGAATCCTTCGCTGAAACCATGGAAGAGGTAAGTTTCGCTACTTGAGCAAATCATAACTGAAACCCTTGTAATGACTAGTTATACTACAGGTTCACCAGACCATGGGTTTATCGGGCTCAGAAACCGACCCTTCCAAGCCCACCTTCACTCAAGATGTCTTCCGGTTGGAGATCTGTGGACCCGAAGAAGATAATTTGAGTATCATTGATGTCCCAGGTATTTTCAAGAACACTACGTCTGGTCTTACTACCAAGTGGGATATGGAAATGGTAAAGGATATGGTCCTGGGCTACATGCGCAACCCTCGTTCTATCATGCTGACTGTGGTCCCCGCAAATGTGGACATAGCCACACAAGAGATTCTCGAGATGGCGCGAGAGTGCGATCCCGAGGAAATCCGCACACTGGGAGTGTTGACTAAACCCGATCTAGTAGACAAGGGTGCTGAAAACAAGGTCATCGATTTGGTTGAGGGCAAATCTCATTCCTTGGCGCTTGGCTGGATTGTTGTGCGCAATGCCGGCCAGCAACAGCTACTTGATCAGAGTTCTGACCGAGACTTGGTCGAGGCCCTGTTCTTTCGGGAGAATCACCCATGGAGCAACCTTCCGAAGGACAAAGTTGGAATTCATGCCCTCAAGGTTCGCCTGCAAGAGGTGCAAACAACCCAAATTCGTCGAGAGTTTCCCAAGGTATGTCACACCGTCTGGCGTTTTGTTTGCGAATTTGGCTGACTTGATATGTAGATGCGTACCGATGTTGGTCGGAAGCTGAAGGCCATGAGGCATGATTTGTCTGCTCTTGGAAATGAGCGAAGTACCCCGGAGCAGCAGAGAAGCTTTCTGCTCGATGTCATAACGAGGTTTCAAGATATTGTTTCACAAGCCATGACAACTTCATACGGCACACGCGAATTGTTCGACAAAGAGAAGGATACCCGACTAGCAACAATAGTCAGAAACCGCATGGAAGTTTTCAAGTCCGACATGGAAGACTATGGGCTTGAATATCAGTTCATCAGTAAGATTTCCGATATCCCACCGACACTGATGGAAGGCGAGGAGTATCAGGAAGATGATTGCGGAATCCCTGTTCGTAAGCACATGGGTGTGTCTGACAACAGTGGCGCTATTGATGGCATTCTTCACGAGCAAGAGATTGTGGAAAAGCCCACAACCGACAGCATTCTTGCATGGATCGAGGACCAGTATCGCACTTCTCGCGGATTCGAGGTGGGGACATTTCCGTCATCTTTATTGTGCACCATCATGAACCGGCAATCTGGGAAATGGACCGACCTCGCGCTCGGATATGTTAGCGATGTGATCGAAATCATGCATACCTTTATTCTCAAAGTCCTTGGAGTCATCTGTCCGGATGAGCAAATTTGCGACAAACTGGTGAGTGTCCTTGCTGATGAGCTATCGAAGAGATACAGAGAAGCAATGGAGCAGGCCAAGCTGGTTCTTGATGTCGAGCGCATGAACATAATGACATTGAATGACGGATTTTATGAGAGCCTTGAGGAAACCCAAAAGAGAAGGTGTGTTTGACTAACTAAGCCAATCGACTTACGAGATACACTGACATCTTTCTACCAGCCACCGGGAGAAGTATGAGCCTACTGATGACGAGGCAAAAGCTCCAATGAGCAACACCGAGAGCACTGTCCGTTACATCCATGACATCTTGGCCGCCTACTACGATGTTGCATCTAAGCGGTTCGTCGACAACATCTGCACGCAAGCCACTGGCTACTTTCTGCTCACCCGGCCACGCAAGCCGCTTGGACTTTTCTCGCCTCAGTTTGTTGCGAATCTGACGGAGGATCAGTTGACGGAGATTGCGGGGGAGAATGCGGCGCTGAGCCGGCGACGTGCACAGCTGAAGAAGGGGATTCAGGACTTGGAAATTGGTCGAAAGATTATGATGTAGATCTGATCTGCATGTCAGGCCATTCTAGATGAGAAATCCGAAATGAAATGAAATGTCATACATACAACATCATCCTATCAGTTCCCCACGGGCTCTGCCCTGGATGATCCTCGCCTCTCGTCCGGGGGCATGGAGGGACGTGCGCGTCGTTATTGGCCAGAAGTTGGAAAGAGACGGCGATAACGTCCACTGGGCATATAATACGGATTCTCGTAGTATATAGCTTATATTGGCTATGTACTTTACATTCTACGGAGTACTTTGGAAGCTGATAATGGATTACAAGCCAAGTAGTTGAGTCTATGGGCTTTTAAAATCTCTATTACTCATTTAAAAGACATATTTAACTACATATTCAGAGCAGTTTGGAAAGTCCGAACCCCCGATATAGATGTACTAGCAGTACTTACTGTATATGTGGGGTTTGGGCCCGGAGGTCATTATCGTCCACTGCGCAGTGCTCCACGATCCACGGATGACATGAGGGCAAACCGGCTGGATTTCAGGTGAGTGCGACTCAGACATCTTGCTTCTTCCAACCATCTAGACATCTCGAGACATTGCAGATCTTCCAACTCCGTCGAGCATCCCTCCCAAGGTCGTTCCTCTTCCTCAAAACTTTCCGAGTTGCCCGCAAGTAAGCCCGTTCGCCACACGCGCAAACCCCGAGCCCACAATCCATTTCGCGTCAAATCCACGATCAGAAAAATTGTGATACCACCGAGATCGCGTCGACCTATACCAATAGCGTCGGCAATTTTTACCCATCCCCTTGAACCAGAGTTCTCTTATCACCTAGCTCCCCCGTCGCGGTCCACCCCACTGTGGTGACGGCGACGCTCAGCTTGGGCCTGATAAGAGATTCGGCGCGTCGACCACTCCGGGCACATGAGTAATAAGCTTTGGGAGTGTTTCATTCAAGATGATGTCGAGCGGTTCCAGCGGTCTCTGGCGAACGCGACGTTCGCGGGGCCGCGAGCTGCCGGAGGCTCAGGAGGGACCTCCAGAGCTGCGACAAACCTATCATCGAAAGCTGGAAGCCCTGGGTCCATGATTGCCTCGTCTCCGAATCTACCGAGAAGTAAGAAGAATATTGCATCATCCCCTGGGTCATTTGTGTCTGACCGGGCGGCCTTACCGCGCGGGAGCGCGACTTTGTCGCGTGCCGATGTTAACGCCCGTGATCATTACGGCCGTACACTGCTGCACCATGTTGCCTCATCCTCGAAACCTACCGCTTCCAAATTCGCACGCGCTTTGTTAGAAGTTCCATTTATCGATATATATGCGCAGGACTGGGAGAGTGGATGGACGGCTCTGCATCGGGCTCTTTATGCCGGGAACGCCACAATTGCTCTGGCACTCATGGCGCGCGATCTCCAGGACATGACAGATTTCAGCAAAGGTGGAAATACGAGCCATCCAAGTGGTGGCCTTATCAAGATCAAGGATCGTGAGGGTTGCAGTCCTTTTGATGTCTTCGGGGCGACTATTAGAGCCCGCGACATTAAGCATATCTCTGAAAACTGGCCTAGTTCATATATTGATGATGATGCTCTCGGCAGCGATGCTGCTTCCAATGCTGCGTCAAACTTTGGAGATGATGGGGAAGATGGGGCATACACTCTTAGGAGTGTCTTGAAAGGGGCCGTGGATATTGCCGCCGATGAAGTCTTCACATTAGGAAGCAACAAAAACCTGAACCTTGGTTTAGGGGATCAGGATGACAGACAATTTCCCGAGCGCATCTCATTGAAGCGCCCTGAGCATCTTTTGCATCGATTTTATCGTGAATACCACGAGAAATTGGAGCACCTAGGACTTGAGGATAGCGTGCCCAAGAGCAAATCGACCGAGCTGCCCACGTTGATCACAAACAAGCCAATGAAGTTCCAAGACATTATCATGTCCAAACTGCATACCGCCATAATCACAGACGACCCCGAGGCTAATCTGTTCATGTGTGGATTTGGTCCTGGAGGGCGCCTAGGAACGGGAGATGAGTCGACTCGTTTTACCTTTGCTTGTATTGAGACAGGTGGACTGGAGGGGAAGAAAGTATTATCGGCTGCTCTGGGTCAAGACCATAGCCTGGCAATTACCGAGCAGGGTGAGATTTTCAGCTGGGGAAGCAACAAGTTCGGACAACTTGGCTATGGCCTTCCTAGGACTAGCAACAAAAACGACATTCCCATCCAGACGACTCCTCGCCAGATCTTCAATCCGTTCAAGAAAGAGACGATCATAGGTGCAGCAGCTTCGTCTATTCACTCGGTGGTCTTCAGTACCTCTGGTCTCTATACGTTTGGCAAGAACGAAGGTCAACTTGGCTTGGTCGATTCCGATGCGCGTTCGCTTGAGATACAAACGACACCGCGGCGCGTTGGAGCATCTCTTTTCAGTTGTCCTATCAAGATGGTGTCCGCCATTGACCGTGCTACGTCTGTGCTTCTGCAGAACCACGAAGTTTGGGTTTTCTCGTCATATGGCTATTCAAAGCTTTTATTCCCACTAGAGGTGAGCTCCAGATTTATCAGGGATAGCTTCATGGCAACTAGATACGACAAGACTGCGAACCGTGTTGTCAAGATTGTATGTGGAGGCAACACCATATGTGCATTATCCAGCTCTGGTGATGTATTCACTGTTCAAGCCAACCAGTCCGATAATTCTTCGGCTTTAACGTCCACAACCAATCCTGCAAAAATTCGGAATTCATTAGCCGCCCCTGTTAAAGCATGGTCCGTTAAGAAATCATACATGGCAGCGAGCGATGTTGATGTTGGACAAGACGGTTCGATTATCATCTGTACAACATCTGGATCTGCGTGGAGAAAAGAACGGCGGACAAAGAACAAGGAGGGAGCCTCGAAAGAATACAAATTTGCCCGCATACCTGGTCTCTCACGGGCAGTGGCAGTGCGCAGCAATGCCTTCGGGGCCTACGCTGTGGCCCAACGTGACTGCGAAGTGACCAGAGAACAAATCAATGTCGAGCAAAGCAGCCTTTGGGATGATATGTTGCCGTTGTCCCCGTTTTCAATCCCAGGTCTGGAAGAGTTGGACTCGATCCTCGAAGATGACGCTCAGAATATCCCTCTTGTACTTTCATCCGGAAAAAGTATCCAAAGAGCCATACTTTCATCGTCGGATATTGAAAGCCAATTTCTTTCTGTATGGAGCGAGGGGACTGTTTGGGTGACCAGCTCCCTATACGACTCTTGCATTCCTGTTCATGAATTTGTCATAGCTGGCCGTATTCCTATTCTGGGAAAGGCGTTGGCCGAGTTCCGCCAGTCATATTATTCATCCGTCCCGGACGTTTTTGATATTGAATACGGGAAGGACGGACATCCGCAGATCTGCCTTCAAGGTGTTGATTTTTTGACCGTTATGAACGTGGTCTTTTTCCTTTATACAGACGGTATTCTCGATGTCTGGCGCCTGGCAAGGAGCTCACCCGCAAACTCGGCCCGTTTTCGGCAGGTTCGCACTGAAGTTATGCGGGTTTCTATGCAACTAGGCCTGCCAGCGCTGGAGCGGGCAGCACGACTAATGGTCGAGCCGCAAAGAAGCCTGAAAATCGACATGGCTCATGCCATCAATCACCCTTTCTTATTTGACAGCGCAGATGTGACTCTTCAGCTCAAAGGCGATACAATCAAAGTGCACAGCCAAGTCGTGTGCCAGAGATGCCCGTTCTTTGACACACTTTTCCATGGTCATGCGGGTGGAAGGTGGCTAGACTCGCGCAAAGCGGACCCAAACCAGAGCGTGCATGTCGACCTAAAGCATATTGATCGCTCGACATTTGAATTCGTTCTGCGTTACCTCTATGCCGATACGGAAGACCGGCTGTTTGATGAAGTACGGATTACAGATGTTGATGATTTCATTGACTTGCTTCTGGATGTCATGTTCGTGGCAAATGAGCTGATGATTGACCGACTATCTCAAGTTTGTCAGAAGATGCTCGGTCGTTTTGTCACAACGCGAAACGTGTGCTATTTGCTCAATTCTATTGCCCCTTGCTGTGTGACAGAGTTCAAGGATGCCGCCCTGGAATATATCTGTCTAAATCTCGAGGCCATGCTCGCTAACAGATATCTCGAAGATCTGGATCCTACTCTGCTTTGGGAGTTGGATCTGATCTGTCACGAAAATCAGCTGGCGTGCTGGCCCATATCCCGTGGGCGCAATTCTGAGGAGTATGTCTTCGAGAAATACCCCGAACTTGTCAGCTCCGTGGAAGCAGATAAGCAACGAAGGATCGATGCCATGACTTTGCAGTCCCGCCTTGGTCGTTTCGAGCCTTATGATGATGCGCGAGCCCGGTCAATGCATAACGAGAAGGGCACCTCATCTCCGTCTGCACGCAAGGCGAAGAAAAGTGTATCCCGGGAGTCACCAAATGTTGGTAATAGCCCAATGCTGAAGTCAAGACCGTCGGTTGGTGATCTCATGTTTCAAATGGACGACGAGGCCCTCATATCACCAAGTGCTTCGAAAGGCAAGGGTGTCATGCGTGAACTCAGGTTCACAGAAGGCATACCTGAAAATCAATCATACCCTGACTCCCCAGCTTTGGGGGCAAGCGTCCCAGAGGCCGAGTCCTTCGGCGATTATGGTTTCTTGAAGGATCAGATGTCTTCCCCACAAGATCCGCTACTACGGTCCCCGTCTGAGTCCAGGGCGATGATAAAAAATCAAAAACAAGCCCTATCATCGCCATCTAATCCCTCTTCTGCGCCATGGACCTCGCCAATGATTTCTAGTTCCAAGAAGGATATCAAAGACATCATGGGAGAAGCATTACAGTCTCGGGTATCCAATCTCACGCTGGGCATGGCAGATCGACGCGAAAGCAGTGGTAACTTCGTACCCAAGATCTCCCAGAAGGAGCGAAAGAAGCTTCAGCAACAACAAATACAAGATCAGCTGGCTGCCCAGCAGAAGGCGAAGGAGGCACCACAGAACCCCTGGCAGAAGCCAGCAGCTTC